TCATCCTCATTAACTTGTTTTGCAATACCTCCAGAATGGAGATATTATAATATCGCCGCTTGTCCCCAGACGCCTGAAGCATACATGATGACAGGCTTGAACGTCGTATTGTAGATGGTAATTTTGTTCTTTAAACTTTCTGCTGATCAGAGGGTATAGACTAGCTATCCGACCCTCGATCTTTGATTTAACGCACATAATGTGCGGGTTCCAAGTGAGCCTACGGTCTATCAGAAGGCCCGCGCTTGCCAGTCAATCTCCCTTCCAGAGATTATCACTTTTCTGGCTGGACAAGATAGCAATCTTCCCATGGTTATCGCCTGAGTCTTGTTCGGGTTCACTCGAATCTTCCAATCGAGGTACCAGCGCTCGAGGTCGTCCAATGCACGTTGCATGTAGACGACGCCGAGCTCCAGACCCATGGAAGACGGGAGGAGAGCCGTGTCATCGGCGTATAGGGATATCTTCACACGCTCAGTCCTCGGTGTAAAGTGAGTACAGCATCGGAGAGAGAACTGGCCCCTGTGGCACTTTAGCGAGGATCTCTCTGTTGTCAGACAGAGAGCCCTCTACTCTAACCTGAAATGTTCTGTCTTTCAGGAAATACCCAATCCACCGGATCAGGCCCCAAGGCAGGTCGAACGCGATTAATTTGTGCAGAAGACCTTCGTGCCATACACGGTCAAAGGCCTTCGAGATGTCTAGCAGAACAATGTGCACTTTTTTGTTAGTGTTTAGCTCGTGGATGGTGTTTTCGACCAGCCTTAGAGCCTGTAACTCAGTGGAGTTTTCTCTCCTGAAGCCAAATTGTTCATCAGGCAGAACATTTCGGTCCTCAACTTCTTCGTTGAGCCTTTGGAGAACGACTCTTTCAGCCAGCTTAGCCGCCGACGACAGTAGACTGATCGGGCGATAGTTCTGTGGGAACAGCTGGTTCTGACTCTGTTTTGGGATCATGACGACGATCACATGCTTCGACCTTCTGGGGAAGTATCTGAGGGATAATCTACCAACTCCATACGAAGCTATTAGGTTGTTTCAGAAGTTTTGTAAGTTTTAATTGTCTTCTTTGAACTGTAATACATCAGTAATATATTTAGTCCAAATAAGCACCACTTAAATCAGTGCACTTTTGCCTGGTTCTGATTGGCGAAAGTTCTAGCGGTGAGAACGTTATCGAAATACTTGAAAAGATGGTAGTCGGTTGGTGAGAGATCTGCTGCTGGTTTGGCCCGTTTGCCAGAAAGTTATAGTGAATCACAGCAACCGATGCCCACCATACAGTAACCATGATCTTTTTTGGTGGGGTTTCGCCTTTGAGAAGTGCCTGGATGGCTCATCGGTTTCCAACCACTGTCCTGAACGTCTTCTGTTGTCGTAGAGGATCCACTTTTCATTACACGTGACGAACCGATCCAGAAATGATCGTTTTGGTTGCGCAAAATCAAAAAACAACAGACCTCGAAACTTGACAATTTCTGTTGATAGTTCGAATCGTGGGACACTCAGTTCCCGAGTTTCAAACCATTAAAAATCGCATTGGAGCTGACGCCCAGTTCATTCGCCATCCCACGCACTATTTGTGATCGGTCAGTCTCCACCACGGTCCTCAAGTCCTCGACTTGGATAACTGCAGGTCGATCAAGTCGGGGCTCATCTTCGAAGCCATAATTTCCGGAAGGAAATTTCAATGTATAGACTACAAAAGTCAGTCAAAAGTGGTTCACTGATGTTTGTTCTATTTGTAGTTTCTATTGTAACACTAGTTGCTAATACAGGTCCAAGAGTCAATTGAGCTTTTGTCAGGCCAAGATTTTTGCCCTTTCAAGTAGGAAAGACATTAATCGACCAACGAATCTTAAATTCAAAACTTTCGTTTCAAAAGAGGTCTGATAGGGTATGTGGAAAATATTGCCCTACCTCATTGGTTGAGGAGGACTATATCAGGCTCATGAGCTGGCAGGCTGATTATTTTCATTTATTTACTTTACTTCTTTGCTTCAACTTTTTTTAATAATGGTATTGGAAGAAAAACATAACCTGGGAATAACTAACTGATAACTACAGAATTTCTTTCGTTTCTGGTGAAAACGTGAGATATCAAACCATACAAATATCCCTAGAGCTTTCCCGATTGTGGTTTACTGTCCGTGCTCATGAATTTGATACATCTGTTATTTGGGACTGATTACCATGGTAGACGTAATCGATAAATTCTGATGTTGTTCAAATAATGAAATAATGAGATCATATCTTCAAGGATGTCGCCTATACCTTTGAATTTTTAATGGTAATGAAGCAAATGACTGAATCTATAAAAACAGATTACAATTATTTGATATTTGCTACCGAGATTTCAAATGCAATGAAACCAGTTGTGATCGTAACACTATCAAATCTAATCAATTTGCGTCCATGACTAATATTCTGCTTTATGAGCTATAAAACACCTATTCGTTAATTGTTTGACAAAGACATCAAATATATTGACATATTGCCCGTGATATTTTCAATTTTCGACAGACTACGATTGAGATCTGTTCAATTTTTTTGGTTTCGAAGAAATTGGAAAGTATTCCAACCTGAAATGGATAGACCATATAAATAGCATGTGTAGTAAACTTAGTAAGACACTTTTTGCTATCAGAAGAATTAAAAAAATTGTAAATCAAAGTGCGGCACTTGCAACATACTTTCAATTCAGTCCTTAGGTATGGCATAATATATTGGAATAATGCGTCAAAGGTACATATAGAATATTTGTCATTCAAAAATCTGCAGTAAGAGGCACAATATCCCTGCTGATTATGATGAAAAGTGTTGACCAATATTTGTAAAACTTAAAATAATGACCCTATTATTCAGTTATTGTCTATGAAAATCTGCTTGTTCAACAAAACTTGCTGAATAAAGTCGCTAACAAGGATATATACCAACATGATACAAGAAATAAATCAAACTTTGTTCCTACAGCTGATAGGTTGAATAGAACAGATAATATAGGCATTAAGCTATACAATGCCTTATCGTAACTTGCCATTTAGAAGATTCAAAAACTTATTGAAGAAAATATTAACCAAACATCTTTTATATGAAATTGGTCAATTTTTCGAAGTTATCCAAGAAAAAAGTGACACGTTTGTGGTCACCTCCCGAACTTTTACTCAAATTTGAATATATATAATACGTTAGCTATGTGATTTATAATTTGTAAAAGCTCATTGCTTTACATTTTAGTCAATTCTTTATAAGATTGAAAACTTATCTTGCTAACTTGTATTTTTTTGTAAATCTAATTCATCTACAAGTATTTTTTTGAAACTATATTGACGAATCTTATCCTCTGAAACCTATTTTAGAAATTGTATTGACGTGTCTAAAAACTATGTGTTTCTTGAGACTAATAAATTATTATTATTATTGTTATTTGGAAAAACGTTCTCAGGAAGTTTATTCCACATAAACGCAGTTCTCCAAATGGAAGAGTTCTTAAACAGTGAAATTCGAGGTGTACTGAGTTTAACCTCAAAACAATGAGCTGCCACAGTTCGTCGCGTTGTCTGATATGCAACCAGAAGTATAATTCTTGGTTTTACTGAAAAACCGATTGGATACGAAAACGGTTTCCTGAAAACCAAACGTCAAACTACTAACCAATGAATTAGTTGGGGTGAGTGGCAAATTGGCAGATGAGTTCGAATTTGGATTGTTAGAAGATATATCGATCAATTTTATACCTATTGTTTTCAGAAAACAAAATACTTTTCGATGTATGATACCAGACAAGAATAGTGTAGAAATAATGTCTGGTCAGTTCATAAATTCTTCAACGTTAGGGGTCTTTGTGCTTTTCATCATTCTCCGACTCATTAGAACTTGAAAGTAATTCTTGAAAAGAAGTTATCGAATTCAATATTCATTTCAATGACTGGAAATCTTTCAGTCTTGTTTCAAAAGTAACTAACAGTAATATATTTTTCAATAATCATGGTTGTCACTTTTTGGAATATTATCATTTTTAATGGCAAAGGTATTTTACCTAATAATAATGTTCTATCTAATACCTACCTTCTAAAGTACGGGGTTGGTTGAAACCAATCAAAATGGCACAAAACACAGCCATTTTCTAAAAAATATTTTGAAATAATGTCTTAAAAAAATAATCGATTGAAATGTAATTTATATTTGTCTATCATTTCTCTCAGGCGCTTCAATTTCATTATTATTATATCCATAAAGAACGTTATGTATGTACCTACCTTTGTTTTATTAGGCAAGTAATATGCTATTTTTTGCTAGAAAAAGCCACGCAAAATTGCATTTTCTATATGAGTATCATGCATGTTGTTCAAACAATATGAATAATTTTGTCTCCGCTTCAAAGTATTTCTGATTTTAAATAATATAAATAAAAAAAATTAAAATGAAATTATGAAAATCGGAACTGTTTTAGTTTTACATATTCTTCGACAAGACCATATGAATAAATATCTATTTTAATAGATTTCCATGAGGAATTCTGAATTATCCCGTATAAACTTCGAGGCATGACGGAAGTTTTCAGTTTCACCCAACCAATATTTGGAAATGGAAAAGCTTTAAATATAGGGATTGTTTATTGTCGCTCCAACTCAAAAATATTAAACACGCTTAGATCTTCTACAGAAACAAATTCATAAGTGAGCAGACAAAGTTTGTTTATTTTGGTTCGATTTTTAACGCTTTTCACAGCTCCCATGTGATTATTGGTCTAGATTTGTTTTCTTTTGGCGCATGAATGAAATCCACACGCGTTGGATTCCCGATGAAATAGAAGCTACTACAAACAACTCATTATCTAAAACCCATAGTGATGTAATCACCATATATGACTAGTTTGGGAAACAACTTTTGAGAAAAGGTGTGTCATTCAATACAAATCGCCGACGCAAATATTGCGCCAATGTATAAAACATAATTCAACACTTAATAACAATAATAACATTCAAATATATACACACCCGCAATGTAATCGATCACACAAAAACTCAACAATGTTCGCTGCTGCAACAACACATGTATCATATCCTCTCTGAACTATTCGCACATTTCGTAATTTTCAAAACAAGTCACTCGTGCGTACGAAGTATTGGCCAAAACAAACGAGATACGCACCGCCTCGACTGTCAAACAGCTTGAGCACAACTGACTAAGCTAAGCCCCTATTAGAGTATAATAGAAGGTATACATACAGTTAAAAGTTGAACGTTGCGTTTACCACGCTGGATGGGACCAAAGCAACGTTTGGGTAGGCAACTCGTTTATAGGAACTGAATCGTCATTCACTCTACAGAACCGTCGATAGACACGCTTTCTGTTCTGAATATCAAATCAAACTGGACGTTGATGGAATCTTAATCAACTTTTTCGAAGAACTATAGACAGTTGATACGGGGTAACATTTATAAATCTTGCGGAAGGCGTCGCTACGGTAATAAATTGCTAACTTGTCAACACTCGTCTCGTTCTCAGTTTTTTTGAGAAAGAGGTTTACTCAAAGCCGACTGCGATTGAATGGTCAATCAGGGAATCAGCTCAGTGAAAGTGTACTTATACTCTAATTCCTAAAAATAAAGAGTAATAAATGCTCATTATAAATACCTACAGTGCTTAAACAAAATTTTGTGAGTTCATTATGATTTTCCATGGCGGGATTTTAGTACTTTACCAGGTCAACCTTATTTTTGTGTCGCAAACAAGAGATGTTATGGCCGTTCGGGTCGTTTTATCACCTGCAGTGGCGCGCGTTTAATCAAAAATACAGGTACTACAATTTTTTATTAATCAACTTCTCCGACAGATGTCAAAGGAGTTTTGAAATGTGAATTATGTCAATATTGTTGATTGGCTACTGATAAATTAGATGTAATATAAGGTGCTCTCCGATATCAATCTGTTGCCATTTCGCCACTATCCAAATTTTCCTTAAAGATGGGTAGCCAAGTACGGTCTATTTCTAAGGAGCTGTTCGAAATACAATTCTCTCCAGATATGAGAATATATGTTGATTCTTTCAGCTTACGTCTCTTAGAATGAGGCTCATTGGTAATTATTCGTGTCTTGTTCCATTCCATTCCATCGGTGGTAGTGCGCCCGACTCGCGATCGGAAGTTCGTGGGTTCGATTCCCGCCTCGACCAGATATTTTTCTCGAGATAATTTATCTGGTTGAAGCGGGGATGATTCTACAACCGTGTTGGGAATCACACGTTAAAAGGTAAGACCTCGTTAGTCCTTAGCTCGCACAAGTTTCTCAACTTCTGAGAGTTGTCGTTTGTAGGGGGGCGACAGCTGATTAACGAAAAAACAGTTTTTTTTCAACAGATTCCACACGATGTTCACCGTCTGATTTTGAAATGTGTTCTGACAATTTAGATCCTGTCAATTATCTATTTTTTATGTAATCTCGATGTTCATTCTCACGCACTTTCAATGGTCTCGAAGTTTCACAAATATAACTTTTACCACAAGAACAAGGGATCTCTTCAGTGTTGTTGGATTTTGTATATGTGAGTACAGATCTCAGTGTACTTTTTTGTTTTGAAAGTAGTTCTAACATCATATCTAACGAGTTCAATGGGATTAAGTCCGCAATGACGAGGAGGCAGACGCTTTTCTGTGCCAACTTGTCGTGAACATATTTCGTGAAACGAGTTTTATTTGAACATACTATGAACATTAGCTCTTTTATAATCATTCTTTCATCAAATGGTATATTTTTTGTAGAAGTCACTCAATAATATCCGCTTTTCTCTGCGCATTAGTTGGTATACTTTAAACTTTTCTGGATTTATAACATGTAGACCGGCCTTCTGAAAATACTTGACGTGAACTTATTATGTTCTTGTCTAGATCTCTCTTATCTGCCTTAGGTAATGTCCCCACCAGCAAATAATTTCATAATCTTCGATTGGGGGCGATTTTCTATTTGTTTTTCCCAGCTGAAATTAAATTCATCTGAAGTGTTCCACAATTTCTTTCTGCCTATCATTGGGGACGTGCTTTGGTCATCTATAAATGCTCCCATCATTTCAAGGGTTGATATTCCTTTCTTAAAATTGAATGAATACGAGGTCTTTTCAGAAAATAAGGTGAATTTATTTTTATCAAAAAATATTCTTTTGTTCATAAATTTCTATTTTGTCCCCTTCAAAGTGGTTCCCCTCAGGTATATAATACACTTGTGCCAGCGTTTTTTCCAATCCTCGAAGCACTTTTTGGTATGTCCTTCAGGTCTCTCAGCGATTCGGTTTATCTTCCCAATCGTCGCAAAACGCCGTCTTTTCATGGGTCTTTTCGATCTTGGAAACAGGAGAAAGTCGCAAGGGGCCAAATCTGGTGAATATGGTGGCTGGGGCATGATTACGGTGTTGTTTTTGGCCAAAAAATTACGAGCATACAATGACGAGTGAGCAAGTGCATTATCGTGATGCAAAAGCCCCAACATCGGATGCTTTCTTCGTATTGCTTCTCGGAAGCACCGCATAACTTCAAAATAATACTCCTTATTGACATTACGACCATGTAGCGAAAACTCCTAATGCACTAATCTACGGTAATCGAAGAAAACAGTGAGCAAGACTTTGACATTTGGTCAAACTTGGGATTTTTTTGGTCTTGACTCTTCCATTGGGACGATTGGATTTTGGTTTCGATGTCATAACCACATACCCATGATTCGTTACACGTTATGACCCTTTCAAGCAAATCTAGATCGCCGTTAACGTCATTCAACAATTCTTGAGCGATACTCATGTGTAGGTTTTTTTGGTCCAATTCAGCAATTTTGAAACAAACTTCGCTGCCACATGCTTCATGCCCAAAATTTCCAAAAAATTGCATGGGATAAGCCAACCGATATGCCGATATCCTCAGCAGCTTCTCCAGTAGTGATTCGATGGTTTTCCATAACAATTTCCTTTAATTTCCCAATATTTTCATCGGTTGTTGATGTGCTAGCGCGTCCAGGGCGAGCGTCGTCATTCACAGCGTCTGACTCAGAGTACATTCACCGTACGCCACTGTCATTTCAAGTGTTTCTGAGCACTTAATTCCATTTTTGACACAAAATTTGATGCCAATTCTTTGATCTATTTTTTTTTTCGATAACAGAAAATCGAACACGCACTTTTATGCTTCTCACCAACAAGGTAATCGTTTCAGTGATCAAATGCCTCAAAAATGAAAATATAACATTACCATCAACAAATTCTACTGAATTAATGTCTCAGTTTTCATATATATTTGTCATCCCTACCTAGCGTTTTGAAGCCTTTTAATTTAAGACGAGTTTGTATTTTATAATGTAACATTCATATTTTTATACGTTTACACATTTAAATTTTTACGTTTTATATGATTTACATCATGTACACGTTTAGAGATTTTATACTTTTAGATTCAATATTCAATGTGTCTTTTTTGTAGTATACTAAGAATATTATTCACTATTTTTTAAGGAAAAATAATATCGAAATATAAGCACTAAATTGTTTTGCCTGAGTAACTCAAAATACATTCTATCTTGACCATCTTCAAAGGAAAGAATTTCGATATTGATGTTTCGCAGACAAGATTTCCAAAAACTTTAGTGAATCATCAATACATATGTTTCCTCTGATAAAAATTCAATAATAAGACTCGTTTTGAGAAACCTTTTCATATATCTATATTAATCGCGCATTTTTTCTATTGTATGCTTTTATAAATACATGTAATTTGGTGATTTATAAACTACTACTAGGTACTACTATGCAAAACAGTTAAAACTGTGAACATATGTTCGAGACAAGTGTACCAACATGCAAAATGAAAATATTGCTACGTAGCCCGCGAAATTTGAACATTCACCTCCTTTTTTCAACATGCCTTGTATTTAAATTACCAAAATAATCAATGAAGTGCTGACGTATTTTATGAAATCGTTTCAAAATAAAAACAATTTTTTGTTAATTTTGTTAGTATTTCAATATTGGCAAAAAGTGCCTAACAGTCTTTTTAGAAAGCTTTTGACACTGTCAATCATCATGTATTACTGAGGCGTTTAGAATTCATTGCGAAGTAAGAAGAATCACCCTTAAGTTTTTTGAAAATTACTCATCTGGCAGAAATCAGATTGTTAAAATCAACAACATTTATAGTAATCCACTACCTATAACCATGGGCGTTCCCCAGGGGACAGTACTAGGTCTAGTTTTGTTCTTAATATACATCAATGACATTTACAAACTTGAAAACATCCAAGGCAACATTATATATTATGCAGACGATACAGCTCTGTCATTTCTAGGCGATACGTGGGACGATGTCTTTGAAAGAGCTGAAAGGGGACTCATATCTGTTTTCTCTTGGTTAAGCACAAGTCTTTTGAGCCTAAACATCGCTAAAACTAAATACGTAACATTAACCCCCACAAATAAAGGTCAATCTTCCAAACATAAGCTCACTATACACAAACCTATTTGCCAAACCCCAATGATATGCACATATCCTACAGTTGATAAGTTCCACAACATGAAATATCTTGATGTATATCTAGACCAACATCTACGATGGGACGAACATGTAGACCAGACCGTTAAAAGACTTAGTAAATTATCTTATAAATTCTACCAACTCAGAAATCTCAATAATAAAAAGCTACTTTATTTTTCATTCATTGTTATACCATTATCAAAATATGTAATTACCTAAATACATTTATCTATCTATCTGTTCGAAGCAATAGCAATGTAATTTCGTATTCAATACTTTGTCAATTCATATCAAATGCACAAAATGAAAACGCATGTGTATTTTATCGTCGTCCCATGTGTATTCTTCTATTCAATCGAAGCAGTGTTAGTTGGAATTTTTTTTCGGAACCTATGCCTATGTAGGCAGATAGTCCTTAATATAAGAACACCTTGCAAATCTTTGTTAACATCTTGTGTTACAGAAACATCAAGTAGAAATGCAATCGGTAATGGGATCCTTCACTTGCTCTCAGTAAAATTGCGAGTATGTCATCAATACCCCCGGAGTCAAGCTTAAAAATAAAATTTTGTATTCCACTCTCGCTCACAGGCATAAAAATATTGAATGGGACAGGTTTATATTCATTTTGGTGCACTCGAAACTGAAACACTAGCTGGTTTTCAGCCAGTATTCGACACACATCGTGGATGGTTTTGGCATCTTTTATTATACATACTCAGTTGTTTCTTCATATCTGTTGTTTTTTTTTTAATTTTGGACTACTTATAGTTTTCCTCTGTTGTATGATGAGTCACTTTTTTGTGAGAGTTTCACTGAAGAGTTTACAAAACAACGAAAACAAGCCATTTAACAAGTCTATCCCAGTTCAAGAAACGATAATAGGCACCATAGGACATGAATATGTTCTGGTGGACCCACTACAGAACAAATAATATTTTGAACGAATTCATCAAAAACAATAATGACAAAACATAGATCAGGAGAATATGATGGCTCGTAGCTCTTGCCCAAAACTTTATATTGGCCAAACGAGGAGAACCTTTTCCTGTAGAATAAGAGAAAGTATGAGTAGTTTCTTGAATGTGAAAAACAATTCTACATGTGGAAACCATCTTTTGACAGAAAGTCATGAGAGAGACCAATGAGAATGACCAAAATTAAGCCAGGTGCTTTGATGTACACTCTCTGGCGTTAACTCTTTTACCACCCTCAAGAATCGATAGAGTTCAACGTCATCTATATATAAACCAGATGGGTCTTCAAGAATAAAAGAGTTTTTATCGTACTCAATTCCTTTCTTTCTTTTTTTGAAAGTTTCTCAAACTTTTTGTTCATTGATGGTGAAGTTGAAAGCGAAGAAGTTTTTTTATCTAAAAAATAGCAGTAGGTATTGTAATATAATGATTCATCTCCGATTAGAAACAGTTGTCTTTCAGTTGACTGGTCGGAATACTCAACAAATGTCTTCATCTCTTCTGTTTAACACTTTTACCTCGTATTTGATATTCTAATACCTATATCTTGATCAACTGATTCAATTATCAATTTTGGCATAATGCCCTCCAAATCAATTCAGAAATGTGAGTTACAAATTTGAAGAATGACAATTCAATTTAGGATATATCCACTAAAATCATTTCAAATAAATGGAAAGACAGATTTGATTGATAGTAGAGAAATGAATAAAATAGAAAATTATCTCAAATATTCCGATGAGTTGGTAAACAAATGCAGTGAAATGATATCAAGAGTTCAAATATGAAAAACTTCATAAACCATGAAGGATGAAAACAAGAAGGTAGGCTCATTTGTAGTTAAACAAATTATTGAGCTAAATTGAAAATGACAAAATTATAGTACCTACAGATTAAAAACTAAATTAATTTTGTAAAATTGTCATTATCAACAAATAAACCAAAAAGCATAGTGAAAGATTTTTAACTGAGTTACGCTAGACATTCAGACTTTTGTCACCCTTATTGACTGATAAAGTTCTTATTTCTCTTCAAGCAATGCATATAGCGCTCATAAACTACCAACATAATTTCATGTCGCCCTCTATCCCTCGGTAGTATCAAGTCCCAAATATATTTGTAGATGAAGAAAACTGTAACGTGTCTGGTTCTTATTTTGTACCATTGTATCATTGTATTGTGTATACAAAGATTGTATTAACTTTGTATATAGACTATCACAACCAAAACCAAAAAGGTATATATAAATGTTTACAATGTTTGTATTTTTGTACTGTTTCGCATCAGCTGCTAACAGTGAGTCAGTTGTAGACTGAAAAGATTTTTGCAACACAGTGTTTTTTTAATAATGGTGAATTTATGCACAAGTATCAAGTAACAATTAGGTAGTGACAATTATATAAATTATTAGTTGACACTTGACACGATTATGCAGAAAAAATTACAATAAATGAGTAACAAGTGAAGAGTTAAAGTTGGCCAGCTTTTAACTTTCCTCCTTTAATTGTACCTACAGTTTTTTCACTAGTGCGTAAATAATAGCTGATTGGCACATTTCAGAACAGAAACGGTAGAAATGAGAGATAAGCTAACCAAAAACCTAACCTTATAATTTTCAAATTTCAAAACATTGTTGGCTGTGTTTTGTTTAGTTTCATTATTTCTTGAATAATTTGATTCTATAATCGCTGAAACGGAAATTGATGATACTGTGTTAAAAAATGTACAATAATAGATACACAATAGTGAAAATAACAGATTTCTTTTTTTCCGATAAAAGCTTACACTTTTGTGTACTACCCTATCTTATTGGGGCTTTTAAGTGTGCATAAAATCACCTTAATTAGGTACACGAGATTTACCCACCCGTGCACATAATTAGTAATACAAAAGGTAAGTTGTTCTTGACATAAGTATTTCTGAAAAATAATATATTTTTTTTATAAAACAGGTAAATGTCGCAACAAGCTTTTATATCATATAAACTGTGTGATGTAATAAGTTGATGAGTTTGAATCAATTTAAAACTCATTTTCTTCTTTTCAGAGCAGTTTAAATCAATAAATTTTATTTCCTAAGCAAGCATGGAAATCACCAAAAACACAAAGTCACAATTCCTAATATGTAAAGGGTAATGTTAATAAAGGCTATTTTTTTTTAATATTTTTCACTATTCATTTATTCCTATTAGTTTCCTTTCGAAGAACTCGAATAAATGAATGTCCCAGGTGTACAACTCATATGAAACTCATAACTCAACTTTCAGATTAAATCAAAAAACCTTAAATCGCTTCATCAGTTTACCAGTGTTTGGGAACATTTGACGTCACAGCAGTCTTTCGAAAAGTTTAGGCCTTTTGGAGGGATAATTTTGAATCAAATTTCATGATTTTTAATCCATTATCTGTATTGGAATCATTTTAAAATTCAGTGCTATGGTTTTTAAGACTTTTCCAAAAATAGTTAACATCTCTCTTTTATCAGTCATTCGAATTCAGATGTTCCGTTTTTCAAACATATGGTCCTTTTATCCAAACAACTACAAAGTATTCAAAACCCGCTATAGGCCTCATCAGTGGTGCTAGGCTGGACCACAATGCGTTGCTAGACTCAAGTGTGCTTGAAGGACAAGCCTGATCAAGCGACGTCATTTTCTCTTACGAAAACGCCATAACGGGATCTACAAATATGTTCAATGAGCAAGTCAAATAGGATATGTGCATATGAATTTTGAGAAGATATCATTAAAACAACCAACATATAAAAATACAATTTTAATCAAAATGTACAATACGCTCCTATTTTAAATAATAATCGTTCCAAAGCCTATAATAAAATTATTGAATATCTTTTCAAGATAAGTATACCTATACATTTAATTACAGGAAATACATACAAATATTATTGTATCGTCTATTTTCATGACTTAATCTTGAATATTTTCACAATAACCATCCCAATCCAAGACCTATTAAAAAGGAAACCATATGTTTCTAATATATTCGTACTGCACAGAAATGCTACTTATGTATCCGTAAATGGCAACACTGGCATAGGCCTACACTTAACAAAAACCCAGATCAAAAATATTTTCCCAAAGGGATTTTGATATAATCGGTTTACTAAACCACAACACGTGTTTAGCTACACAATAGTGTCTTCCGAAACATTTAATAGTATATCAAAGCCTGCGAAAAGTAGGTATTTTTAGGCGAAAACTGCGTTGCTATTTCGTGAACTGTCCTATGAAAGCCTCGTAATACGATCAGTCCTCGCAACTGAGTTCTTAAATTTCGTCGAATATGAATTGGTTATTGAACTTTATCTCTAAATAATCAATCAATCAGTGACATAAGCGACTGGCAAAACTATAATCCCGTCCAAATTAGCAAACGTGAAACTCATAATAGAGTGTACACACTCCATCTCTCTTACAAGATTGTAAAGTTGTTGAAACGGCTTTACAGCCCTATAAACTCTTTTATATCTAACCCTAAACTATCAAGGTCAACTTCTAACGAAATTGATCAGTTTCTTACTCAATACCTTGCATTTTTGAAGAACAGGGGCAGGTGTCCTGTAGTTTCAGCAATACAGAACCCACAGATATGCAATTACACTTGAGATGCTAACTTAGCAAACAGTATCCCGTTGCCAGTCTCAGGTTCTTTTCAGGACTTTCAGTTTGTCTCTACTCGGGCAATCCAGTAGTATCAAAATGATTCCAGAGAATGGAACTACCCCTCTCCTTCCTCGTAGCTTTTAATTCCATCATCCACATCAAGGTTATCTCGTTTGTCACTGTCATTTGTGATGAAGACTGTTTTGTAGTCCCAAGTTAGTATAGACTCACCAATTTGTACCTTCAGGGATTTCGATCAGACAGCTTGGCTGCTAGAAGAGGGTGATCCTGAAGGAGTTATGAGATTTTAAACTACATACCAAAAACTCAGTACTTGCATCTAAATCACCACCATTAGATCATATAATAACTAGTGGACTGTGACAAATGAGCCTTTAGATGTAGTTGACGAACAGAGGCACTAGTCTGAAAAGGCAAAGACCAAACCTATAGATGTTCCTATCATAAAATTATCACCAACAAAAATCAATATCAAATATCAATAATCAAACGTGGGACATTGGAAGTGACTCGAGAAATCTTCGATAAGAAAAGGTCGTTGTGGCCCGTTATCATCGAAGGGGGTGTCCTTTTTGTTTAAATCATGCAAGGGCCCCTTCGAGTGGAACTATACCCTCCTTTCAAAGGGTCTGCTATCCCCCTTGATTTACCGGTTAAAATTTCTCTTTAGGAGCAGAACATTTTTATTCAGGAAGGAAGATAGTTCCTCATTTTTAAATAAATGAAACATTTTGATATTCGAAGACCTTTTTTGAAATTTTCTTGATCGGAAGAGAAATATTGATATGCAAACGTTCATCGATTGTCAATGGGAATATTTCGAATAACAATAGAACTGTTTTCTTATTTTTTGCTATTACAGATATATAAGCAGTACCATCACAATAAAACTTTTCAAAAAAAAAAAAACTTTCAACGTAGGCAGCATTATTTGATTATTATATTCTGTATCTAACCAGAATTGAAATTTCAAACTGATAGATAATAACATTCATCAAAAAATAACCATTCCTAACAGAGGGTAACAGTGTTTTTTCTTCTCCAACTATACTTATTTGATTCCAGTCAGATTTGAACTGAAAATTGGATCCTCATGGAACGCTAGACCATGCCCGATTTTAGAAGGAAGAACAAGATTGAATGGGAAATTATCAAATAAACTCATTTTAACCTCTGTTCTGAACCATTTTTCAACAATGTATCAATTTCTCTTGTGTTCTATGAGGATCCGTAACATTACCAATAGCAAAGACAAATCAACGGGAAGCGGAAAACCTTCCAGCTAATACTATACATTGGTCATCATACAATCACATCACAGTGATCAAAAATATTCTAGATTAATTTCCAGAAAGTTAAGACTAAACGAATCACATTATCCTCTACATTGGCCTTATAGCCACTAGATCCGAATGGTAGCTGGTATTGTGCCTGAGATCCACCCCAATGCTTATAGAACCATCGCTCAAATCTTCGATTCTTGGACGTCTGGATCTTTTATGGTGCGTTGTGGGGTGACATCGGCAGTCACAGTGCATCACACAAAGGGCCACAGATGTAGCTAAAGTGATTACGAAGGGCACTGCGAAATAGTGTATGATGATCGCTATTTGCTCGTCTCTTTCATAATGTGTTAGTACGACAGTACGGTTTTCACGAGAATGATAACAAGGAAATTCTGTTCCCTCTACCCCGTATGTGTCAGTAAAGTTGGAACAGAGAACACTAGGTGGATATCCACATCCCTTAATATTTACTAGAAGTACGGCATCGTCGGTTTGGTTATATGGATGTTCCTGAAAATGAATTTCAATAACATTCTTCTGTTAATACAAAACACATGCAGAGTGGGCCAAAACTGCCAGAGAGAAAACTTTTTGCAAAAATTCAAAAACACGTTGTTCATTCGTGAAAGGGGCTAATTTTGACACTAAAACCATCGCAAAACAGAGGAATCAACCCCCTTTTTATCAATCGGCATCTCAATAGGGACAGTCTGGCTTTGTACTACATCTTTTCCCAGTTAGCAGTTCAGGTGAGATTTTATCAGAAGGAATACCTGGACATTTCGATTCATCATTGAGGAATAGTAGACTCAAATCATCCAGATTCCTCTTCCTGGTGAAAAGAGTGATCACAATTTTGCTGGGGTTTACAGATCTCTGCTCCCCATAGCATCAACTGTGAACAACGTCTAGCGTTCTTTGGATGATATTACACGCTACCCTTTCCCCAACGTAGTCCTTGCCAAGATGACGTCGACACTAAAACCATCGCAAAACAGAGGAATCAATCCCCCTTTTTATCAATCGGAATCTCAATAAAGACAGTCTGGCTTTGTGCTACATCTTTTCCAAGTTAGCAGTCCAGGTGAGATTTTATCAGAAGGAATACCTGGACATTTCGATTCATCATTGAGGAATAATAGACTCAAATCATCCAGATTCCTCTTCCTGGTGAAAAGAGCGATCACAATTTTGCTGGGGTTTACAGATTTCTGCTCCCTACAGCACCAACTGTGAACAACGTCTAGAGTTCTTTGGATGATATTACACGCTACCCTTCCCCCAACGTGGTCCTTGCCAAGATGACATCGAAACTAAAACCATCGCAAAACAGAGGAGTCAACCCCCCTTTTTTTCAATCGGCATCTCAATAGGGACAGTCTGGCTTTGTGCTACATCTTTTCCCAGTTAGCAGTCCAGGTGAGATTTTATCAGAAGGAATACCTGGACATTTCGATTCATCATTGAGGAATAGTAGACTCAAATCATCCAGATTCCTCTTCCTGGTGAAAAGAGCGATCACAATTTTGCTGGGGTTTACAGATCTCTGCTCCCCATAGCATCAACTGTGAACAACGTCTAGCGTTCTTTGGATGATATTACACGCTACCCTTTCCCCAACGTAGTCCTTGCCAAGATGACGTCGACACTAAAACCATCGCAAAACAGAGGAATCAATCCCCCTTTTTTTCAATCGGCATCTCAATAGGGACAGTCTGGCTTTGTGCTACATCTTTTCCCAATTAGCAGTCCAGGTGAGATTTTATCAGAAGGAATACCTGGACATTTCGATTCATCATTGAGGAATAGTGGACTCAAATCATCCAGATTCCTCTTCCTGGTGAAAAGAGCGATCACAATTTTGCTGGGGTATACATAACTCTGCTCCCTATAGCACCAACTGTGAACAACGTCTTGCGTTCTTTGGATGATGTTACACGCTACCCTTCCCCCAACGTGGTCCTTGCCAAGATGACATGGTGATCTACATAAGCGTGCCGATCTACTTCTCTTCTGTCGAAGACATGAAGCAGACTATCCAGCAGAAGTGGTCACACCGGTTAATGGTAAAGACCACACGGCGATTACCCATTGAAGTTATCGATCAACTACGCAATCTCGCATCTGCCAGCAACAGGCATTTGTCGGTTTCCAGGTAGATGTGTGGGAGAGGTATCTGGCAAGAGCCCCTCGACGGTTACTCATCCCACGTTGGACAAGTAGCTTGCCTAACATGAGTGCCCCTCGGAGTAACATAAGGGTGTGTCTACGATCCAGACCACACGGCGGCGTACACCCAAAAGCTGTTGACAGACCGCCCTGTTCCGCACCTACACTGTTAACAGGCGCAAGTCTTCAGTGTATGATGTGTGGTAGAGGTCGCTCGAAAGAGTTCTCACTAGTGAATCTTCACCTTTATAGGCGTTGGTCTTTAGTGGCAAGTGCTCCGCTAGTGGGTATGGGGATGGGACTCGTGATTACATTCGTGGGTACATGACCCCCTTAATTGGACATTGAAAGCTTCACACCGATCCGTGATTCTGGCCTGCTTTCTGTTAAATCCAAGTGTTCGTTGTGTCGGGGCTTGCGGTCCACCCAATGGGAACTAGCATCCGAATCTAACCTCAAATGGCCGGACCCACCCGGGTCCCACACCTCGAACGTCTGTTCGAGGTGTCGGACCCGGGTGGACGGACCTACTATCCGAGCTTAGGAATTCGTTATTTCCAGGGACGATGTGATCACTTGACTTGGCAGGTCGGTAAGGGCAGGTGTGCGACCAGAGCATTCTCTGTGGAAAGTCGAGCATAGTTGCCTTAAGGGAAGCCACTGGTGGCCCTGAACCTAATGGCTTCATCTTGAAGATCAAAGTTGATGAGATAGATTTAGGTGGTGCATTATCAAATGCTCCTTCGATATCGAAAAATATGGCCACCGCAATCTCTTTATTGCTAAGAGATCGGTTGGTTTTCTTTACAAGATTATATAATACTGAATGATATGAATCAAGACCTTCCAGTAGAAAAAAGTTGAGAAGTTATGGGACACTCGATTCGGGAAAGGGCAAAAATGATTGAACTTCATTTCAGATATAATGAATGTAGAAAACGAGTTGCCGAGTTTTGGGAAAACTGGTGGCAATATTTCGCGAAACTGAATCGATTCAAAATAACAAGAAACATGGTGGAATTTCTGTCTTGATGAAACTGCAAGTGTAGCAGAATTGGGATGAATTGCAATGGATAAGTACGCTTAATACAAGCGAAATTTCAACTGTCAATATGTACCCAACTCTCACTGATTTAAATAATTAGTTCGCATATTGAAGATGAAATTATATTTCAATAAGACGTACTCCCCTAAATTAGGTACTCACAAATTATTTAAATAGGCGGTTTTCAGGTCGATGAATAGCACAAAGGGTTGGAATTGAGTATCGTACCCGGTTATTATCAAGCCCTTGAAAATTTTTGTGAGACTCAGGAAAAATGAAGTGTATCGCACTCCAATAAATTCACTGGAATACCTGCGAGGACGAATCATTAATATACCTATATTTTAAAACGACACCACTACCAAAACTCCAAAATGTACGACAACACTACCAGCATTTATTTAATTGATGAGGCGAGTTTTTGATAAAAATACATTTAGTTTCGACGTTTCAGAAATCTGAATCTACTGATCAATTTTCAAAAGCGAAATAGCGATGAATAGAAAATCGAAAGCCTTTTTCGATGAAATATTACTCGAACCCCATTTCATTCAAAAAAATTGAAGAATGACACCTCGTTTAGAAGGTTTGAGGTTTAAAATAATAGATTTTAAGTCTTCTTCTTCTTCGATTTTTTTTATGGTTTTGTTTCCCTAATAGATGAGACCAGTAGTAGTGAAAGACGGGAAGTGAGTCAAAACTTGTCGCTTTTACAAAAATAACTAGATGTGTGAAAACATGGTTTGTAAAAAGTTTTTTTTTCTGCGGTAGGTTCGTTTTCGATGGCTCACCGAGGAGTTTCTTTCCTTAATTAAGATTCTTTGAGTTCAAAACAGTAGCGGATCCAGAATTTGGTTCTCAGGGGACGCACCCAGAAGCATTTATAGGTAAACGAAATAAATTAAAATTGTTTTTCAAATGAAAGTGCGACTAAAGCACAACAAGCCATTTTTTGAACCTCAAGGTCAGCGGTTTTTCTGAAATATATTCGATATAATTAATATGACTTTGGAATCAAATGTACCTACTCATTCTTTTTTGCCTGAAACTACACATACCTAATAAATATCCTATTGTTGATAAGTGAAAACAGCAAAGACTATGTAAACAAAGAGTAATCAATTACCTTACTGTCATTGTAACTGACATAAATGTGTGTACAGTGGTATGCATCACTTGTACAACCCTCACGACAAGAGCTCCAAGAACAATTGGCTAGTCCCATTAATTCTTCTATTCGAGTAGTAACGCAAGTGACCGGTTCTGTGACAAAATTTGATGCTAAAGTTGATATGGCTGGATCTACATACAAGGGGACCAAAAATAATAGTGACGATCCTGCAGACATCGCTATTACGGCTAGCAGACTTGTAGAATAAAATAGAGCTTGTTCTCTGCATGATCGCCCTGCAACTGTTTTTGCTTTCTTTGCTGCTGCTAGCTCCTAAAATCCATTTATTTATTCAAAATGTGTATTAATTTCAAGCAGAAGTATGAAATATAAACGGTAATCAAATCATACAGTCCCTCAACATTAATTATGTTCTTGTTACAGTCAAATCGAATGTCTAAAATTTATCCTATAGTTGACATGCACTGCTGCAATTTCTCAACAATTGGGGTGGTCGGATATTGACACCTCAATATTTCTGACTGTGACATTTTAACACATTATTGAGAATACATACTTTAATTTTACGTTTTCGTAGCTCCTCTTGTTGGTCTAGGAGCAGTTCCGAACTACTGCTCCTCATTTTAATCGTTTCACTATGACATTTGGTATATGCAACACTGAAGACTTATCACAATATTATTGTCATCAAAAATCGAAGAGGCATCCAAGAAAAAGAAACTTCAGAGCTCCTGCCGACCGAATTACAACAGCGCTTGCGCGACACCACTTTTCATCCACCACAAACAGACCTCCCTCAATTCTTTTGTCCAACACATAGTTGCCTAATCGTTCTGAAAATTCAAGAAGGCCAGAAATTTCTGTATCGTCATTGTGATTAGATATGTTCCATTTGATGAATTCAAACCTACGAAGTCATAGAAATGCTACCTACCCAAACATCAACTGAAAATTCACGCCTTTGCTTGACCAAGAAGTTTTACGTCTTGACAAACATTTGAAAGATATTTTAGCTTGAGGTTGCAGTCACCAAATAGAAGTTAACAATTTCAGTTCAAATTGGACGATAAAAATGAATCATTTGAGAAAATAAAATCCTAGCTAATGTTCCCTAGTTGAATGACCGAGGGACCAGACTTCGACATTTGTCCTCGCAGTCAACGCACATACTACTACTGATCGATGTCTGCCGCAGTAGCAGACGAAAAGTTTGGTAGTTTCTATTCGATCACGGCAGTCCGGATGTTGTTTTCTCTAATCGTAACTGCAGCTGTGAAAGCCAAAGTTCTTATAAAAATATCATTTTTGCGCTACAAATTTTCACACACTATCTGGCAACAGTGTTTATTCCAATCATCTCAATCATTAATAGCAGGGAAGGGTCACTTTATTGAGTGAGGGCTGTATGCTTTATGATTTTCCTGCGATATATTTGATCCCCGGAGAACCATTCTGTTGTTGCAGTCCTACTATATACGCTAAGAATATTGACATAAGTCTATAATGTAGGTAGGAATGTGTCAACTAACCGCTATTTATTGCTTCAAATGTTGTCCTAACAAGTGTATTATTTTATTTATTCATTTTTTGTGAAGCATATTTACTTTCACAATTTTACTGAGATATTATGGATTGATAACGAAACAAAATACAATACACGAAATATATTAAATGATTTCTGTTCATGAAAGTTTAAATTCATTTGAATGAAAAATATCAAAACCACTCAATGGATAGATAGATACACTTGATAGGTATACAAAAACTGAAAAAAAAAATTGTGATGGAAGTTAATATCTGAAATGAATAAGACTTTGAAGGTGGTTGACAATGTTTCATGATGAATTTCATTAGTTTGGACTTCCATTGTCTAATATGATATACTTAAAATGATTTGAAATCCCTGAAAGAATCAATAAATTCAAAAAGAATAGCTGAAAATAACAATTATATTAAGCAAAAAAAAACTGAAATGAAATTACAATAGAATAAGATCCAAACAACAATTGAAAATTGAACAATTAAAAAGAAATAAGACTTCTTGATTCTGATACTGAACATTACAAAACTTGTACACGTAAAAATATTTCTGTTATTCCTTCCATACTGAATAACTATTGAAGTTCCTGGAATCTGAAATAAGGAAAACCAATCTTCTATGAACTTTCGAAAATTCAATTGTTTGAAAGAATATTATTTTTACTGTGGTTTAATCATTTCCATTTTTTTAATGTGATTGTGTCCTTAATTTTTGAACTGAAAATAGGGTTTAGAATATAGGGAATTCTCACTCTGTCGATCTTCCTCCGTTTAAGAATAAAATGACTATAGTTTGTAGAATGAACTCAAGTGTAAAATAATATTTTTTATGCTATGCATAGCGAAACACGTGTTGCCGTTTTTCTACGATTAATATTACAAAATTATTATCTGCGAAATAGTTTTTTCATCTACTTTTTACAATTTTCACGAATTTGTTTCCAAAACAAACTTGCGCCAGTAGCACATTTTATCTATGTTTGCACAAAATAAAATATTCATATAGTTACCCAACTTATTTGAGTTTTCAACGAAATCAATCTTTCTCATTATGTGTTTGAATGTTTCTTGGATTTCTGATATGAACATGGAACATGCAAAAAAAATCGCGGAAAAAGGGACAAATTTGAATGTTCTGCGGGCCACCAAAAGTTTTAAGGCCGGCCCTGGTTTCAGTGGCCTCGTCAGGTGCAACAAAAAAGTCAAATTCATTCTTGCGAAAACTGTTGTAGGGCAGAATGTCAAAGTTTGAATGAATTTGTTTTTTGTTTTCCACTTAAATATACTTCTGAAAATGCAAAAATAGTGTATACAAACAAGTATTTTCTAATTACTGTTACATTCCATACAAAACTGTCTGACAATGACAGTTTCCATAGCGATAAAACAGTTCTCATTGTTCATATTTTCTACAATAAAAATAAATAGAAAAAATAATCTATGGTGCTGCAAAGTACGACTATTGCGCCATCTGTTGGCTATAAATTTCAACTTTATTGACATAGAATATTATATATGAGCAAAAACTGCAGAATCAGAAGAAAGACGACTGACGCATTGATGGTTGACGATGTCAACTTTGCTCAGTAAATGAAATTGGACGTCACTTTCAATTAAAGATTTTGACGTGTGTTCATTTTCAGGTTTTCATCTGGTTTTTTAATTTCTTAGCCACAGAAATTGTATGGTTTTTTTTACTTAACAACTTTGCCTGATCGACTAGCAAGTGGGGAGACTCTAATCTCTAATAAGATGAAATGTTTTCATAGGAGATGACGAACTGAAATGTTGTTTTCTATCTCTGAAAAATTAAATAATATGATTTGAAATAATGGAGTTCAAGGTGTTTATTTTATGTTTATTTTACTCATCTGTAAAGTTCTGCCAGTGCATAGATCAAGGTAAATTAAGTTTTAATCATACTCAGCTCTTAGATTTTTTAACAGTATTTTATTTTTAGCGTCATTTTATGGCAATAGTTATATCTCAGTGCCCTTCAAAGAAGCTAAGAGTTCCACATACATATATTTCAGGTTTAAAACTCGTCTACCAAATGCTTTAATGTTATTAGTGGCTGGAACTACAGACTATTGCATTATAGGACTTGAAAGAGGTAGAATTAAAGTTAACATTAATTTAGGTGCAGGTGAATCCGAATTGGTTTCACCTTCAACAGTAAAATTACATGATCTCAAATGGCATGAAGTCAGTATCGAAAGAAAAGAAGCAAATCTCACAATGGTTGTAGACAAGATACATAAAGTACAGTGAGTACCAATATAATTAGTTGCCACATAAGAAGTTTTTGATTCATAAAGGTTTGTGAAAGTATAATGTGTTGCCCTTAGACTCGTTTAGAGAGGTTTTCACGAAGATATTAGTATATTATTCAAAGATTGAGAAAAGTGGTCATATGAGAATGAAGTTTGTTGGCTCGTGTATCAAAAGTCATTCCAGCTAGTAATGACCATTTCTCACGAGTAGAATACTATACTTTTTTTATGAGTTATAACAGGAATATTTCGAAATAAGATTCATTTGTGAGGGGTAAAAAAGCAACGTGAAAAAATACTCAAAAATACTTTCTGTTCTTACGATTAAAAATAATTGAAACACGATTGTAAAGTTATGAATTTTTTTGTCTGTGATTGGTCTCGAGATAGTGAGAAAGTATGAGTTATGAGATCAATGCCTATTTGCCCAACAAGAAACAATCACAGAATTGACACTTTTTTCAGTTGTCATACAAAACTGTGTATTTCCCAACAACATAAATTTTATTTTTCAGAAAAACTCTCCCAGGTAAATTCTTCGAATTGAATATTCATTATGGTCTTTTTGTTGGTGATAACAAAAATAAAAATAATACAGATATATTTTTCGGGCATGTAGAAAAGTTCAGAGGCTGTATCTCAAACGTGAGTAGTAGAATATGGATTTCTGGATATTTTTCAAATAAAATTAATTTTCAGTTGAAGTACAATGATATCCTAGTATTGGAACATGCGAGACACAGACAATCACAATCAAGTGTACAAGGTGTTACCTGGAATTGTGCTGCTGAATTTGATGCCTCTTTGGACCATCCCATCAGTTTCATAGAAGATGATGCTTACATGGTTCTTTCTCAGAAACTGCATTATAAGGAATTCAGAATTCATTTTGAAATTAGAACAATAACCAAAGATGGGCTTCTGTTCTACAACTCGGGCCATAAACTGAAACAAGATTTCTTCCTGATAGAACTGAATAATTATTCCATTAGAGCTTTGATCAAAATTGGAGATAAAATTCTCAAACTAGCTAGTAAGAACATGAAAATATCTGACGGAGAGTGGCACAAGGTTTCCTTCAGACTTACTTCATCTCTCATGGAACTAAGTGTGGATGAAAAAATCTCTAGTGAGAAAAATATTCTCGGCCACCTGTTTCAGCTGAGTGACATCTCTTATATGGGTGGACTTGAAATCAGCAAGCGTTTTCGAGCTTCCCAGAAAGGTTGTAGTAAATCTTGTGATAGTAGTTTTAAGGGTTGCCTGAGGCACCTATCAATATTTGATATGAGGAAAGGATTGCCCGATGCTCATGTTACAGAAGGACTTTTACCGGGATGTGTATGGCAGTACCCCTGTCTTCAAAACCCTTGCAGTGATAACGGATTCTGCATACAGCAGGGTCTTGATTCTTTTCAGTGTGAGTGTCAAGAGGATTTTTGTGTCAATGTCAACTACACAGAAGGGTATAAAATATTTTCCAAAAATAGTCTTGCTACTGATCTGGAACTCCTGTCGGTTGAACCTCTCCAAGTATTGGAAGGCCAGAGTGAAATCATCACAACAAAAAATCTGCACATGATTCTCGATTATCCTAAATATGGCATCACAGATTCAGGTATTAATTTTTTTATTATTGAGGGCCCGGAACATGGAAGTATCACCATAGATATTTGGCCACACGAAAAAAATTCATTTGCTTTATTTGACATAGCAAGAGACAAAGTTCATTATGTCCACGATGGCTCTGAAAATAACCACGACAGTATAGTTTTGGAGGTGGAATTTTCAACCTCTGATACATTCACTCTGCCTGTGTATCTGCAGGGCAAATCTCGTTTCAGTTTGTCAGTAATTGTCATACCTACCAACGATCCTCCTGTTCTTGATATATCGAATACTACAGTTTTCAGGACAGTACAGGTAATTTAGAATGTTTTTTTCAGCATGTTTGTTTGGAATGGTTGTTAATTGTTATTAACCGTTCGCATTTAAACTTTGGATTAGTGCTAGCTCTTGAACGTTTTTATATTGAATGTAATTTCCCATGGATTCACCCAGTATAGTGAACCATCAGACCTTTTAAGTCAAATTACCCAAGGCTTTTCCTAGGAAGTTCTCAGAAACAGCTCAGGTTTTGAAGTGTTGTTGAAATCAGAAGTTATGAATTTGCGCATTTGCGATAGTCATAGAAAAACATTATTCAACAAAAACATTGTTAATGAAATGTCTACATATTTCAACCAATCATCTCATCTTCATGCCTATTTTGAGTATTCATTGACACAACTATTTCTTTTTTCCCCCTTTTTGAATTGTCTAGATTTTTTCACTTTGTTTTCTAAAAAATTATACTGTAGTTATTCCTAATTTATTTTTCATACATTATAAAGTGGCGACATAAACATTTGCTAGGCAAATTGGATAATGCCAGTGATAAATAATAGTTGTTGATACCAAAGCCCAAAAATAATACAATTATTATCCAGCATCACGGCATTGGAGTGAAAACTGCTTAGAATGACAGAAGACAATTTTTTTCCGTGTGGTGGCCACCGTAAGGTGACCAGCTTCCAAGTTTACCTTCAATACTCGAGGATTGAGTTCACTGTCGATCCCATAGATGGCGTCTTTGTAGGCAGAGATGTCAATGCTTACTTTATGATAAAAAATAGTCAAAAAACTAGATAATGTATTACATTTATTGTTATACACAGACAAATTAGTTATCTACACCAGTTTCACTGGCGAGGTTCTTAGCTAAATTCCCATTTATTTTTAAAAGAAGAGTGCCCTGGTTTGCAGAGTTTCAACTCTGATTTTTTCCTATACACTGCTGAATAAATATTTTAATTACCACAGAAATAATTGGTGATTATTCATGGCATCACCTTTTATGAACTTGAATTTTTTATTTCGAAAGAATCAAAATTATCAAGAAAACAATCTATTTCTGATTCATGGACGAACTCAGTAATGCAGGAAGTTATTTCCCATTTGATTGCTGCTTCATAAATATCCTAGAAATCTCTTTATAGTTATGTGATAAGAGAATTATGATTGCAGGTCACTGAATTGGTTTTTTGTCTTAATACATAGACCTGTGGAAACTAACGATGTTCACCATTTGTTTCTTGTAAAGCACATTTCAAAAAAAAATTAACTCGCAATCCACTTCAGAAATAACCCAAAAGCCAAAAATGTTAGGGAATTGGCTGATATCTGATGAAAATTCAAGATGAAGTATGTAAAATGAATTTGTCTAATACTAAATTGAAACAGTCCTGCAACAGACTCATCTGGGCAAGTACATGTGGTTTTGTAAACTGTTCTGCTCAAATCTTGTGATAAAATATCAATGAAATCAAATTCAATAAAACAAGTTATCACAAGACCCCTACATTGTCTTCGTTTTATATTGAATGTTCGAAATTTCATTTTTATTGAATTTTATTGTTTTATCGCTTCTACTTATTTACAATAACCGGTTACGTAAAACCTTGAAATTTATTTGGTTGCCAATTTCAATAAATCTTAGAAACTTACCATTAACTGATTTTCGTTTATTGATTTTTTAGTTTGAAATGAATGTGCTGTAGCTCTCTTATTATGGCATGAATAGCATATTAACCCCCAGATGGTAAGTAAATCAGTTGAATTTCTTAAACACTGCGAGCACCATTGTTAACACAGAGTTTTTTAGGGGACGAAAAAGTACATTTCGTCAGAAATATTCAAGGCTGTAGATGGAGATAACTCTCCCAGAGAACTGATCTATACTATTCTGAAATCTGAAAGTGGGTTTTTTGAAAATTCCAACAAACCTGGCACCCAAATAAGCACCTTCACTCAGGAAGAGGTTGATGAAGGGAATATTCTTTTCTTTGATCGCAGCTCAGAGCTGAATACCTCTTACATATCCATGCAAGTGTCAGACGGAATTGAAACCAGCCCTGTATATCAGCTGAGAGTTTCAGTATCACCCCAATATTGGAGATTGGAACGTAATACTGGTTTGATCGTCTTGCACCAAGCTTCGTCCATTATAACACCTTATAATTTGAGCTTCACTTCAAATGTGGCCATACCGGACTATTCTACACATTTCACTATAGTAAAACGACCAGTATATGGGGTCATCGAAGTTGAAAAACACGCAAATTCCTGGGACACTTCCGACAGTTTTACTGGGAGTGATCTCAAACAACACCGAGTACGTTACAGACATGTTAGTTCCAAACCAGATTTTGATGAATTCCAGGTAAGTAAATCATTTATACAGAATGGTTAAGGGCTTTTGCAGCTGAAGTTTTCATTATCTCTTTTTTTTCTAAAATTCCGGCCTTTAAACCCGAAAAATGTGACAAGAACTTATTTATAGTAGACTAAGATATCTCTTTAAAATAAAGGGTAGTCTCAACTCAGTACTCGCTAAGCTTATTAAGGAGAGAATTTTATTCGCTGTTTCACCCATTCATCATTCATCCAAATAATGAAAGAACTCATTTAAAAACTTAATTAAATATGTATTGTAAGGAAACTGGAAAAATACTTCAGGGATAAACTTATATCATACTGCCACCCAGCAATAGATACTGAATGAATTTCTCAATACTGTCTGTTGATGATCTTGACCTCCCTCAATATTTATGAAGATTTATATGCTGACATTGTAACTTTGATCCAGTCACTGTACTAAGGTAAAATGTTCAGTATGCAATCTGTGCCAAGTTTGCCTATTTGGATATTGTTTTATATTTCTATATCCTGTGATCGTATCAATTTTGATGTCTATGAACTTATAATATTATAAGATGGAATTCTGAGTGTTTTTGTTTTAGAATATTGAAGTTGAGGTTGGAACAACATCATAAATTTTAATTATTTCATGATTATTTTCCATATTTGACAATATAAAATTTTAGTAAGTAATTATGAAAATTAGATAAAGTAAATAGTAGTTAATTATTAAAATTTGATATCGCTTTACACTTTCCATAATTATGGAGTCACCTTTTTTTTAAATTTTTTTTTGATATGGTTCTCACATATATTTTCTTCTTTGGCTATAAAGGGTGGCACACCAAAAACTTGACATGGGGGTTTTGGGTAATAATATTGTAGATATGGAAAAATGCTCGGACAGGAGGGTATACATTTTATTCTCCTACTTGCATCACCGTCACTTCAACCATTGAATAGTGGATTGAACCGCCACGAAAATGTGAATAGGTTATAACATTCAACTGGCACATCGTTTGAGAGCTCGTGAAATACTCAAAACAATGATTTACAATGTTCCAAATTGGGATGAACCATAATAAGTGTAAAGTTAAGTTGACTTACATTATTCTGATCTCAAAAAATGCTCGAATTGTGCACCTCCAACTTCAATGCAATGACATAGATTCTGAAAATGTTCTAGTACGTTCTGAAGCATATTTTGCTTCGTTAGGCAACATCCATGTGTGACTCGTTGTAAATCTTCGAGTGACCCAGGAAAAAATTTAAGGGAGACAGGTCTGGTGATCGTGGGGGCCATTCGATAAAAAATCTGTTCAAAACCTGTTTTTCCGTAAACCAGCTGTCGCACCCCTACGAACGACAACCCTCAGAAGTCGAAACTTGTTTGAGCTAAGTATTAACGAGGTCTTATCGTGGTAATTCATCAATGAAAACCCTTGCCTCTCGTCAGTGCCGGGCAGGTCATTTCAGACGGAGTGAACCGTCTGAGTATCCCGAACAAACAAAATTAATTCCAACTAGTCATAAGCTCTATCTGCAGTTGATTCAGGAGGATGTCCACCGCGCCACCTGTAGACAAAGTCCGGAAACAACAAGGTGAAAAACACCTTACGCCTTGCCTCTCATGTGGACCTACGATTTTGTAGGTACATGTGGCAGATACCCGACGGAAAAACAACAACTAATCCAGCTAATGCCAGATATGTTTATATGCCATCCTTGTCTCTTTATATCTTTAATTTTATCTTGAGAGAATGAACAAATTCACCTACAGACAATTGATAGAATTGTAATAATTATAACTGCTTCATTTTTTTTCAGTTCCGTACTCTGGATAAGACTCAGTTATATACATTTCGACTGACTTTTGCCAAATGCACCTTATACAGGGTGAACGTAAAGAATATTCATCTACATGAACAGTGGGAAACAGTGATATCTACAAAAGAGTTATCATTTGAAACAAAACCATTGAAACCTCTCACTTCAATTCACTATGTAATTGCAAAACCTCCTCAGTACGGATTTCTGTTTTCTCCTGAATCAAAGTATAAATTGAGATCCTGTGACATGTTCACCCAAGAAGACATCGTTTTGCATAATGTTTTGTACAGAATGTATCAAAAGCCTTATTCCGATGTTCATGATAACTTTGCTTTTGTTGTGTTGTCACCTGGTTGTAATAATATTACATTGAATTTGAGTATCAGTTATTCGCCTTCTAATGAAGAAAAATCAAAAGTCAATGTAGAACTGAAACATCTTCAAGTTGACGAGGGGCATTGGACGTTAATTGATGAGTCTCATTTATCGCTGCAAACTAATTCTGTACCAAACTTGGTGTATAATATCACAAGCAAACCGCAAAACGGATTTTTACAAATTATTAAAGGAGACACGATCACGAACGATACAGATTACTTCAGTTCAGAAGATTTAAAAAATAACTTTGTTCATTATATACACGATGGCTCAGAAACACAGTCTGACTCTTTTACGTTTATGGCTTTGTCTACTAATGAACAAAATTTCGAATTTGTTGGCCAAATGAATATAAGGGTTAACCTCAAAAATGACAACAGTCCCCAACGAGTTGTCGATAAGGTATTCCATGTAGTTGTTGGAGGGGAGAGGCTTCTAACTGGAAAAGATTTGAAATACACAGACGTGGATTTTGGAACACCAACTTCGATGATAGTATACACCTGCAGAGATTCCTCCAATGGACAGTTCTACAATGTGAATAATCTGAGTACAAAAATAACTGAGTTTACCCAGGATGATCTGAATAGGAACAAAATCATTTTCAAGCATAAAGGACCCGAATATGGAAAAGTTAGGTTGTGGGTTACTGATGGACAGTTCCATGTCAATGGAATTTTGGAAATACAAGCTTCAGCGCCTTTCATTCATGTTAACATGAACAAAAAAATCATTGTTGAGCATGGAAAAATTGTTGTCATAACAAGTGATCATTTATCTTATTCCACAAACTTGTATGCATTTGATAAAGATGTAATTTATGAGGTTACCAACAAACCGAATTTTGGAAAAGTAGTATCTTCAAAAACTCTGAAGGTACGTATTAATTTTCATATTATTTTGATATATAATAAATTGAACCTATTTCAATATTGCTACATTATCAAATTTGCCCGAACGATGTTCAAACATAACTTGTTGAAATGAAGCCTCAATTCTAATTATGAATGAATATTACTGGAGTTTTTTTTTCCCAACACCAAATCGTTATTTTCAACACTTCGACACGTGTTTCGATCACCAAGTGATCATCTTCAAAGAGGATTTATTCAGCTTCAATCTTGTTGCCAGTGCAGCAGTATAACTATTTTTTTCATCACTGGAGATGAACTAGACCTCAGAATTTATTTCCAGGACTATATTGCTATTAGAGCATCTTTTCCTTCGACACTTTTTCCATTCGGTATTATTGTTTTAGGTCATCAAGAGCTTCACACATGAAGATATAATGAAAGGTCACATTAGCTATCTCAATGAACATTCAGGGGTCAATGCCGATGAAATAGGGCTTAAGGTGAGCTGCCGTGATGCTGTAAATGTTGCTCAATTGGGGGTGTGGATGTTGCCTTCAAATTATTGGGAGCCCCTAGAACCAAAAACTTTAAAAAAACTATTTGTTGAAGAATCAACCAGCGTTTTGATAACCAAGAATACATTAGAGGTTAGAATATTAGTTGTTGCGATCATAAAACTGTAACTAAAATTTTCTAGATGTCCCAGCCTAACGTTCCTCCCTCTGTGATTGTTTACCATATAGCAGAGATGCCTGAGTATGGGTATATAAGTATTTTATCAGATGCCAAAAACGGTAATGAACCAACAAATGTGATATCTTTCACTCAAGATTTGATAAATGAGAATAAAGTACTGTACATTCAATCTGGGACAAACCAGACGAAAGACAGGATAATTTTCAACGTTACAAATGGAATTGTTTGGAGAAAAAATGTCCAGCTCAACATAGAAATAATACCAGAGAGGTTATACTTAGGAGGCAACGATGTAATGGTCAATGAGGGAGGCATTACAGTCTTGACAGTTGCTCACGTGTTTGTTGTGACAGAGTATTACAAGTCAAAAATTACTGTCTACACGATCAGAGAAAATGTGAAACATGGCTGCATTCAAATCCATAGACGGTGTTTGAAATCAAAGGGTTTCACTCAAAAGGAACTACAGTCCGGATTCGTGCAGTATTCTCATGATGGTACTGAAAATTTAGAAGATCAGTTGGTTTTGGTAGCAGAAGCTGGTCAAAAGAAAAGTGTTCCGCATGTATTGAAGATTACTGTTCTTCCTGTAAATGATCAGAAACCCAGATTGATCAACAATACTGGGCTTGTCATGTGGGAAGGCGGAGTGTCAGTCATAACGAACGACATGTTAGGTAATTATAATACTATAGTACCATTGGAAGAAACTTCAATTACCACTATACTATTCATCCAATTTCCAGAAAAATTCCCTTTATTTTGATCAATTGTTTTGTTACTAATTGAATATCTGTTATTTTCAGCTGCTGTAGATGATGATTTGCCTAAAGAGACTTTGAAATACCAAGTGCAAAACTGTTGGTGGGGAAGCGTGTCTCTGAGGTCAGATGTAACTTCTCCGCTAAATCACTTTACACAAGAACAAATTGATAAAAGCTTGGTTGTTTTCAGACATCAAAGTGAGTAAGAACATAGGCTCTCACGGTCGAAGCCACGATTAAAGAGAACAAAATCCTCGCGGGTAGGCCGTGGTCGAATGGATTCTGAAGTACCAAACATTTCTTTTGCTACTGCGACATACATTATCAGTATTATGTGCCATGACTGGCCTTCTGGCCCTGAGTACTGGATACCACGTCAACGGGTCCACCGAATGTAGTATCCAATACTCAAAAAGACCAGAAATGGACTAGAATACAACTTTGATCGACATTCCACCAGTAGCATACCTGTCAACAACGAGGACCTATCAGAACAACCCAGTAACAGTGCGGACCAATTAGAACGACCCGGCAAAAGTGCGGACCAATCAAGAGTGAGCATTGGTATGGACACTTTGCCATCGCTCCCACCGCCGTCCTCGCCATCACCCCCACCACCCTCTGAACTTATGAATACGTGTGAACACAAAGCTTGCCAGTCAGTCATTGCTGAGAATTTGTTGTGTAATCTACGTCCTCGCAGTCAACGCACTGCCAGACGAAACGTTTGGCACTTCAGAATCCCTTCGACAATGGCCTACTAGCCTCGATTTTGTTCTCTTTTATCAAAGTGGCTTTTGAGTCACTATTGAAAATCATCTGTTTTTTTTCTTATAGATGGAACTGAAGCGAGGTTCAAATTCAACATTAGTGATGGTTTACATATAACAAAGGACTATTTATTTCATATTAGGACGAAGCCTGTTAAATTAGAGTTGATTAGCAGACCGCTTCACATTTTTCCTCTACAGAAGAAATATTTAACCTCAAACCATTTACTTACATTTGCGTCTGATGAAGATAGGATAATACATTATGAAGTGATTCAACCTCCGAGTTTAGGAAGGCTTATGATGGAATCTGAAAAACACGGTATTTTCAAAGTGGTTTCCACTTTCACACAAAATGATCTAAATAATAGTAAAGTTTTCTACGAACATACCCATCAGTTTTCAGATTTGTATGCCAATGATTCGTTTATTTTCAATGTTAAAGCTCATTTGGCACCTAAATTAGTAAGACAGGTTAGTTACTGTGTTACAGTGATATGAAGTTGATATTTTGACGTAGTATTTCGTTTACAGGTTCTTAAAATTGACATTTCTGTGTCATCGGGTGGACTAGATGCTTATGTGAGTATACCAAGAATAGCTGTGGATGAAGGGGGCATGACAACTATACCTCTCAACTTATCTGGAGTCGTATCTTTCCTGGAAAACCATGCCGGCCTACGTGCCCCCATAATACATGCATCAGCTATTCCTCCATTGCACGGTCAGATATTTCTACAAAGAAATAAAAACCTAACCACATTCACACAGTCTCAACTTGAATCTGGTCAGGTATACTACGAACATGATCATTCTGATTCCTTGGGAGACAACATACATTTTTCTTTGTACCTCATTCCAGGCTATGTAACGTTGTGTAACTTGACTGTTCCTGTCATCGTGAATCCTATAAATGATCAGCCATTCAACTTGGTTACTCCTGCTCCCAGTTTGAAGGTAGTGCAAGGTGAAAATCGTACGATTACAAGGCACGAACTTGCAACAGAAGATGCAGATACCCCACCTTCTAAACTTAAATATGATCTTATATCTGGGCCTTCACATGGAAAGTTAGTGCTGTTGCCTAAAGGGGTTCCTGTTGAAGGTTTCACTCAAGCCGACATAGATAACAATAAGCTTGTTTACATACATGAAGGATCCGTATTGAAGGACTCTTTTCATTTCAGAATATGGGACGAGAAATTCAGACCAGAATTTAATTTGTTCAACATAATCGTGGTTCCTATCAACATTAGTATATTGGCAGGTGTGCCAGTTTATTTGTTGCAAGGATTAGACGTAGTTTTTCTCTCTGAGAAGCAGTTTTTTATAGAAACCAACGCCGATAAAAATAAGATTCACTTCAGCCTGAAACGACCAACTAAGCATGGCATACTTTATATAGACAATCCCGTGAATCCGTTTTATAAAGACAACCCGATGAAGTCTTTTACATATGCAGACCTAGTTAATAAAAAGGTTATGTACCTGCAAACGGATATGACAATTGCCAATGATAGTTTCAGAGTTGTTGGAGAAATTTCTTCTGGAAACGCATCCTTTAAAGAGGAGGTTGAAGTGGTGATAAAAGTGACACCCTTTATGCATATTCATAATTTAACTGCCAAAGCTGGAGAAATCAACAGGATTTCTTTACACGTTCTTGATGCTACGCCTCTGGCAAAGCTCACTAGTAGTAATCCTCGCTATACTATTGTCACTCCGCCAGTTAATGGAGAAATTCGAAAGATCATTAGAAGTTCTGGCGAAAAACGGAACGTTCTAGACGCCATTATCAACAGTTTTACTCACGAAGATATCCAAAGTGGACTTATTTTCTTAGCAGTCAAAGATATTGAAGTTCCTTGGGACGGGGTTCAGGACAGTTTTGTTTTTATGCTGGCTGCCAGTATATTCCAACCAGCAATGGGCGAATTGAAAATTAACATAAAGTCAATGGTGGACAATGATGTATCTTCAACACTCCCAGGACCAAGTGATCCGGCTGGACATGAAGGAGGCATGCATTTGGCCGGTCCGAATATGACTAAAGACTACTTGTTAATAGGTAAGATATTGATGTTTTTCTAGTTTCCGGAGGTATGTCTCCAAGAAATAGTGAAACGATCCCACTTGCTCAAATAAGTATCAACTTATTTCGTCAAATCAAAGTGAATCCAAGACAAATACTCCTACCACATACCAGTAGACATAATCTGATGGTGCCAACTTGGATAAAATGTGTGGAAGTACAGTTTGTGCTGGATTCATTCTACTAGAGAGGTTCTAGTTCTCGCTAGTTTCAAAGATTCCAGGGTCTTTGACTGTGTAAACCAGGGTCCTGTTGCAGAAGCGTCATGAATGTGTCTTCGATATCTCAGCTTCAAAATGGTTCATGTCATATTTAGAAAATATAAAATAGTAAAAACTATAACATCATCCAAATTGAATGATATAAAGCCATGTGTTCCAGGAAGTTCGGTTCTAGGCCCTATTCTCTTTCTACTATATATGAGGGAAATCATTCGACCAGTTATCTCTTGCTATTTTACTCTCTATGTGGGCCAAATGTCTCTATTTTGGCGCGAAAAGAAAGGATTCATATAAGTCGCTCATTATTAAACATGAAATACTAATGTTACCTTCATTATTTATTTGAAAACTGATATACAAAAATATAATTATATATAAAATTATTACAATGTGTTAAAACAACGATAAAAATGAAATAAATACAACAATAAAAATTAATTGGCGCTCCGGGGCGACTTCATTGATT